TTCCTTCCTTCCTTCCTTCCTTCCTTCCTTCCTTCCTTCCTTCCTTCTCAAGTAATAGTGCTTAGACTTATACGGCCCTCTCTCTCTAAGCAGTTTACAGAGTCAGCCTATTGCCCCCAACAATCTGGCTCCTCATTTTACCAACCTTGGAAGGATGGAAGGCTGAGTCAACCTCCAGCCGGTCAGGATCGAACTGCTGGCAGTGGGCAGAGACAGCCTGCAATACTGCCTTCAACCACTGCGCCACCACAACTCCCTCCTCCCTCTATTCCTGCACCCAATGCTATTGAGCCGGATAATATGACGGAAGACTCCTATTTAGTGGCAGATCTCTGTTCAGTTCATCAGTATTCCAGGAAGGCCACAACAGCTGATTTAAGCAAAAGATCTATTTGTTATGCAAAACAGCAACACTAAACAGCAAGCTGGCTTGTTTTTAAATAAGGTTTTCTACCCCGAACCACATAATACCAAGAGCTGATTTCAATGAGGCTAAAAGCACCGATTATGTAGAGTTTTCCAACAACGAAGCACGAAGCTTACATGTATGGCACATACGAGCGCACACATGCCTATACAGGTAGTCCTCAGCTTACGGCCACAATTGAGTCCAACACATCTGTTGCTAGGTGAGACATTTGTTCAGTGTGTTTTGTTCCATTTTACGCCCTTGCTTGCTTCACTCTTGTTAAGTGGATTGTCACAATGGTTAGGTTAGCCACTTGATTGTTAAGCAAATCTGGCTTCCCCCATTGACTTTACAGGTCAGAAAGTCACAAAAGGGGAATCACAGACCCCGGGCCAACTGTCTCACTTAGCAACAGACATGTTGAGCTCAACTGTGGTCATAGGTTGAGGATATTCTCAAAGAATATAGATCATCATTAGCTTCCTATTGATCCAAACTAACTGTTAAGGTTCTCCGCCAAGGAGGTTCAATGAATTGATTGAGAAAATGACTTTAAGAATTTCTGAAAGGTTAGTGTTGCTTCCTAACAGCAACAAGCCAGGTAGTCCTCGATTTATTACCATAATTGAACTCCGTTATTAAGCAGGTCATCCTGTGACTAACACATTTTTTCATTTTGGGAGGGGGGGAAGTGTTAAGCAAATCATCACCGCCTTTCAAAGACTTACCATAGTTAGTATCTTCTTGGTCATTAAGCGAGTCATGACCTTCAAGGACCCTTCCAACGTTCAGTGCTCCCAAGCCTATTTACAAAGAATTCCCCAGACTCTTACCTCTGCATTTGTGGGAACCATCCGCGTAATAGCCAGGGGGACATTCTGACAGGCAGTTGCCATCCAGCAGAACTCGGCCTGAAGCACAGGACAAGCATCTCAGCTGGTCCACGTAACACCTGTCACAACCTTCAGAGCAAGCTGGCAGAGAGGAGAATCGGATTAGACCCAGGTAGCCTTTGGCTGAAGAGTGGTTCGTTTAGGGACCGTTCCGAGTTACAACAGCACTGAAAACAAGGACTTATGGCTATCTTTCACTCTGATGATCATTGCAGCTTCCCCACGGTCATGGGAATCAAAATTCGGATGCTTAGCAACTGGTTCATATTTATGATGGTTGTAGAGAGAGTCAATAGGGAAGACAGATTCACTTAACAACAAGCATGTTACTGATTTAACAACTGCAATGATTCACGTAATTGTCACATGAAAGGACGTAAAACGGGGCAAAACTCGCTTAACTCCTGATCTCGCTTAACGACACAAATATTGGGCACAGTTGTGGTCGTAACTCGAGGACTACCTCTAATTAGGGCCCAGCTCTGGAGCTTACTAGGTCTAGCCCAATCCCAGTGAGATTTAAATCCAATTTCCTTTTTAACCACTTGTTTCGCAGAATTTAAGTGTCTATATGCCTGGAAATGTAGGCCTATGCCTCAGATGTGGAGTACAAACTACTACCAGTTCTGTGGGCGTGGCTTGTGGGCATGGCTTGGTGGGCGTGGCAGGGGAAGGATACTGTAAAATCCCCATTCTCTCTCCATTCCTGGGGAAGATTACTGCAAAATCTCCATTCCTTCCTCACCCCACTAACCTGCTTTCCAGCTCCATTCTCCTGTACAGGGCAACAAAAGAAGGCCCAGCCAATCAGCTGGGACTCGGGAGGCAGAGAAGAGATGGGGGCGGGGCCAGTCAGAGGTGGGATTTGACGGTTCTCGCAACTACTCAAAATTTCCGCTAACGGTTCTCCAGAGCTGGTCAGAACCTGCTGAATACTCCCTCTGCCCTACCAGGTCATGGGATCCAAATTTAGACAGTTGGAAACCTGACTCCTGTTTATGACGGTCACTAGGGGTGTGTGTGTCATGCAATCCCCTTTTTGCGACCTTCCAATGAGCGAAGTCGGGGAGGGAGCAGATTAACTGAACGACCATGTCGCGAACCGAACAACCGCAGCGAATGCGCTTAAGGAGGTCATAAAATGGGACAACACTGTCTCGCTCAGCAACAGACCTTTTGGGCTCGCTTGGGATCGTAAGCTGATGACTTTACCTGTCCTAGGTAACGGTAAAATGCCGGGGGGGGGGGGAATTCATTGATCCCTTCGAAAGACAAAGGCGAGATAGAATATTATAAAGTATGGGATAAATTCTAGCAATGGTGGGGAAAGAAGAAGGGCCTAAAACCTAAAAGAGAATAAGGATGGCAGAACGGATGACCAAGATTGGGAAATATCACAGAAATGTGTATCTGTATAAACGTATTTAAAATATGTATCTTATGCCATAATATGTACGACAACCAGGATCGTCGGGATGGTTACACCACGTCCAATGTTTTTAACAACTGACAATAAAGTTTTGTAAAATGAAAGATAAATAAAAAGTCATTTTTCCTTTTATTGATGCTTTATGAGGGTGACTCTCCTCCCTCCTCCCAATGGTCCCATCTCTATTAAAATTCCCCAAGAGGGTTTGAAAAAGGAGTGGTGTTTAACACCAAATATTTATGCCAGCAGGTCTGCTGATAAACCCACCCTTAACTCTGGATAATATTGTGTTTACCGTCTGGTTACACAAACTTTCCCCTCAGAAGAATGAATTTAAAGGAATGCCTTACAGCCCTGAGGCAAACAGAGAAGTGGGCGAGTCTGTTGTGAAAAGATTGGAGGCGCTATGAAAATCTCTTCCCCAAAAAAAGGAGCGGCTTTCATACATTTTGTGTGTTTGTTGCTTTCTCTCTCCCACAGACACTCACCTGGCACACCTACAGGTAGTCCTTGCCTTACAACGGTTCGTTGGGTGGGCCCTGAACATGTGACATGTTATGACCGTTTTTCACACTTGTGACCTTTGCAGCATCCCGATGGGACACGTGGTCAAAATTCAGATGATTGGCAACTGGTTCATAGTTACGACCGTCGCTGTGTCCCAGGGTCATGTTTTGCGACCTTCTGATGAGCAAAGTTGACGGGGAAGCCAGATTCACTGAACAAATGAATTACTAATTATCTGAAGTGATTCACTTAACAACTGTGGCAAAAAAAGGCTGTAAAATGGGGCGACACACACTTAACAATGGTCTCGCTTAAGAAATTTGGGGCTCAACTGTGGTCATAAGTCAAGGACTACCTGTATATATAAAATGTCTTCCGTCTGGACCTTGTAAGTGAGCACTTATACAGGTCCTTGACTTACGACAGGTTGCTTAGAGACTGTTCAAAGTTACGACCTAACTTGAAACAAGGGGACTTGTAATTTTTAATATGAGTTAAAGGAGAGTAAATTGAATGATGCATAAGACAATAGGGTGGTGCATTCAGATGGGCAATTAAGGGGGAAATGTTTGAAATTATTAAAACTAAGATGGAATTTATTGAATAATGAAATAAGAATATGTGATGAAACTGCAAATATGACAGATAAAAGTATAAAGGTATAAAGAATACAGATTAAGAAATAAGAGGTTTAAGATATATGAAGAAGATAAGAATATAATTAAAGAAAAACAGAATAAGTTAAGATACGAACTAAAAATAAGAATATTTGGGAAAATTTACAGAAAATGGGAAATGTAATGATACGATAAGAAACTAGACATGTAAGATAGATATGTAATTATGCTCATGTTTGTATGGAAATGTAAAAACCTGGAATCACACCGTTCACCAAAAGAGATGTTTGTAAAAGATAAAAATAAAAAACTTTTTGGAAAAAAAGAAAAAAGAAACAAGGGGACTTATGACCCGGGATCCGGATCTCACTTAAGAGCAGAGCTCAATTGAGGACTTTCAAGAAGAGATTGGACTGCCATTTGTCAGAAATGGTGTAGGGTCTCCCGCTTGGGCGGGGGGGTTGGACTAGATGACCTACAAGGTCCCTTCCAACTCTGATTATCTGTATCGTAAATCGAGGACTACCCTGTACTCTCACCAGCAATGGAGGGGAGGAAGCTTACACACACACACACACTTATCACCCTCCAGCCCTGATAAGGGGTAAACAGCTGCATGGATCTCAAAAGCTGTCCTTGCTAAAAAAAAAAAAAGTGGATTAAAAACACGGCACGGTGGGCTGGCTGTTACCTCTGCAAACTCCCTCCGTAACGTAGAACCGCTGCCCGCAATTAGCCATGCATCTGCCTTCCAGGAACACGAGAGACGGGTCTCGGCAGGTGGAACAGTTGTTTGCCGTTGGACCTCGGCACGTTGCACAGGATTCGTGACAAGCTGGAGGCAAAGGAAAACATTTCCAAGTCAATTAGAGCAGCTCCTTTGCTGTACTCAGCAGGCACCCATTCTTCTTAATGCTCAAAAGAAGACCACCCAGCTACATTAAGGGGGAGAGGAGAGGAAAAGAAGGAGAAGGGAGTTTCAGATCTGGAAAAGGGAAGGAGTAGGTAGCGGGTGACGGGAGAGCAGTGTTCCAGCATCTCAGGGGCTGCCCCAAAGAAGAAGGAGTCAAGCTATTCTCCAAAGCACCTGAGGGCAGGACAAGAAGTAACAGGTGGAAACTAATCAAGGAGAGAAGCAACCTCTAGAACAGGAGTGTCCAACCTAGGCAACTTTAAGACTTGTGGACTTCAACTCCCAGAATTCCTCAGCCAGTAACTTTAAGACTTGTGGACTTCAACTCCCAGAATTCCTCAGCCAGTAACTTTAAGACTTGTGGACTTCAACTCCCAGAATTCCTCAGCCAGCA